AGGATGTATACAAAGTAAGCACCCTGGCTTCCTGCTGAGTCACTTAGCCAAACCTCTAGACTCCCCAAGTTGACACAATGTATCAACCATAACAAAATATAACAAATAAGCTTCTGGATGCTTATAATAAAACAATATGGGCTTCTTCAAGTATAGCTCAGTGGTAGAGCACTTGCCTAAGTTACATGGTTCCATCACTCAACCCCAAGAAATAAAACAGAAAAAGAAAAGGGTTATCAGCCATAGCCAGAAAAGTAAGTAGAAAAGGAGTACAGAGATGGAGTGAATCAAGGTAGTATTCAGCCCAAAATCTAAAGGTAGAGAGAGATTTTTTTAAAGGGACTAGTTAATACCATATGAAGGCTAGGATGATCAGGTCCTGTAGTTCCTGCCAGACCTCATGCTTAGTCTGAATGGAAAGGGCATTTAGTAAAAGCCCTAATGAGGACAGAGCAGAAGAAATCAAATCGCTGTTAAATGCAGCCAAGGATGGGAAGCCTGAACAGGAAGATAAAGATAAACAACAATATAGAATAACTGGGAGATTTAGTGGCCCAGGAGTTTGAAGCACATCAGAATTAGGCTCAAGATTCTGGCTGACATAAATGGTGGATGCTAATTCTTGCTAAAGTTCCCCTTCCCTTGCTACTTGTGGCAGTCCAAGGGATTCATACAACAACCTGAAAATAAATAGGCTTATGCCCTCCATTGCTCAGAAAGAAACTGAGGCTCAATAGACTGGATGGATGTAAAGGCTGAGTGACTCTGGTAATTCTAGTGACTGCAAGAATGATCATTAGAGATTTAACACTTTTCCAAAGTGGCTGAAGCATTAGGTTTAAATCAGAGTGTGGGGATGTTTTCTTTCTTAGGTTGAATTTATCAAAGAAATTCATCCTGAGAGTGGAGGGGGTCACTGCTGAGTTCTTCTACTGTATATTTGAAATAATGACCAAGCCTAAATATGGAATGTTCATGTATCCTGAAGAGGGTTCCTGCATGTGGTTTCCTGTCAATGTAAGTCTTTCATCTTTTTCTGAACAGAAAATGTATCCCACATACTACAATATGAAAACCATGAAAAATAATGCATGATTACATCACAGTCTTGGGACCCGTATTTTGAGTAGTACTTGTATGGTCCACTGAGAAGCACCTAGAGCATTGCCTTGGAGCACTAAGAAAAGCAGAATCTGTGGCCCTACCCCCAAGCTACAGAAAGATAATGTGTATTGTGTAAGGTCCCCAAGTGATTCATGTACATGTTAAATTTTAGACAGCATTAATAGATTATAATTGAAACAGAATAAACTGCACACATTTAGTTTCCAGCTGATAACTTTTCATATATACATTAATATACAATCAAAATTATGAACATGTCTATAATTCCCCCAAAATTTCATTTCTCTTTCCAATCCATCCTTCCTATTCCTTCCTGCCGAGGGCTATGCAACCATTGATCTGCTTTCTGACATGACAGAATGGTGTGAATTTCCTAGATGTTTATATAAATAGAATCATAACCCAGTCTTCAGCATTTTCCCTTATAATTCAGCATAATGATGCAGAAATTCTTCCATGTTGTGTCATATAGTCACAGTTCAATCTCTTTGTTACAGGAACATATTCCATTATATGGTTTACTAGAGTTTCTTTACCTCATCTCTGATGGATGAATATTTGGGATGTGTCCTAAGTTAAAACCCAAAGATCTAGAGTGCTTTAAGTTAGTAAAGACACTATTGAGAGAATACTAGAGATAACTATTAATTCTGAAAAGGTGATTTTGATTTATATAATCATTATTTTTTTAAAAGATCCTTGAAGTATAAAGCATTTTCATTTTAAAGTAATAAAAAAAACTTTATTCCATTTTAGTAAAATAGACCAAATAGTTCTCAAAGAAATCATATGTTCAGCTTCTATTTATTGGTCATTTTTCTCATAAACTTTCAAATTATTCTTCCAAATGACATGAGGGATGTTTGGACAGAAAAGATGAATGGATGGTAATACATATTACCAGGATCTTGTACTTGTTTGAGAATGAAAAACCCTCTAAAAGTTAGGAATGGGTAAGATGTTCCAGTGGTAGGACTTTGTATCAGACAGTCAGCAGGCATTTATTTATTTATTTATTTACTGTTTTTTGATGTGTTCAGGTTGTATTAAGTATTGTAGGAGATTGGAAGTATTATATATAAAAAAGAAATTATTATATAACACAATCCCTTTCCTTCTGAAACTTTTTATGTACATAAATGGAGTGATATGATTGAAATTCCAGATTGCTAACTTGGTGTTAATAGTTACTAAGAAGCACAATACAGGAGGGAAGGAATGGACTGGTCTGGGACTAGAAGGCCAGAGCTCCAGTCCTGAGTGATGGTGGCCATGTCATGGCTGAATTTTCAGTTTCTCCTCAATAAAATGGGTAACATAATTTCTGTTCTGCCTGCCTTATAAGACTGTTGTTAGAATAAAATAAGGTTTGTGAAAGTATGAAAGTACCATGACAACTTTAGGGCAAAAGCAAATTGAAGCTATTATTTGTTAGGACAGGAAAAAAAAAATCAAGGAAAGAAGGAAATTATTACAGAAAGTGTCATGGAACAGTGGAGACCTGGGGCTGATGATTAAAGAGAGGGACAAAATGGATTAAAGGGATTCAGGTGAGGGATGGAGATGAGGAAGACACACTGTATCAACCCTGGGAGATAGCTGGTTTATCTTCATCTTACAAAGGAGGAAATGGAGGCTCCGAGAGATTAAGTAGTTTACCCAAGACATACAACTGGCAAGCAACCATGCCACAACATGAATTCAGAGGTGTGTGACCCTGAATGGCATCATGGCAGAAGCTCCTGCAGATAAGCCTATTTTGTTTCTGATTTGTGATTTTAGAAAACAGAACTTAAAGTTTTCTGTACTAAACTCTTTGTATAATTGATTATTTACAAATTTTTCCCTTCTCCTTCTTCAGCCAAAATATGAAAAAAAGAGGTACTTCCTCTTTGGGATGCTCTGTGGACTCTCACTATTCAACTTCAATGTCGCCAACATTCCTTTCCTCCTGGCTCTGTATAAGAAACTTCTGGACCAAAAGCCATCTTTGGAAGATTTAGAAGAACTCAGTCCTTTTGGGGGGAAATAAGTAAATATATTTGCTTTTCAAAGACTGTATCTAGTAAGACTTAGTTATTAGCCAGAAATAATGTTGCACAGATGAGGTCTGCAGTTTTGATATTGTATGCCTTTTAAATGAATACGAATTTTAAGGTCAGGGATATAACTCAGCAGCACAGTGCCTGCCTGGCAAGTGCAAGGTCATGAGTTTGATTCCTGGTACTAGAAAAATAAAAATAAAAAAATAAATACGAATTTTAGCATGACTTATATAATTCCATAAGCCTTCAAAAGTGCTGAATAGCCCATGTTCCTCTAATAATTACCTAGTATCATAAACAGATATCTGGCCTGGTCTCTTGATTTTATCCAGGTAGGTAGTTATTTTGGAGAGTATACATTGTATACCTGGATTATCACATGCCTACTACAAATATATATGGCCTATATAAACATGTATATGTATGGCTAATCAAAAAATATACATAATTAACTTGACTAGTAACTGAGGGAATAAAAATGAAATGTCATTTTTGTGTTTATAGATTGACAGTAAAATTCTTAGAGTATTGGGAACAAATTGTGGGAAAGGATTCTTTTCTCATGTACTATATGGGAGAATAAGTTGGCTACATCAGAGCAGTTTCTCTGCCTTGGTAATCTTGACCTCTTTGGTGGGAGGTAAGGAGAGAAAGAGAGAGAGAGACAGACAGACAGACAGAGGGAGAGACAGAGAGAGAGACGTTTGTATGTGTGGTGCTGGGGAACTACCCAGAGCCTCATACATGAAAAGCAAGCTATCCCCACACCCCTGGGCATTTGTATGGCAGGCTGTCCTGGGCATTGTACCATGTTTAGCAACATTTGTAGCCTATTCACTAGATGCCAGTAGCAAATCCTCCCTTCACTGTGACAGCCAAAGGTTTCTTCAAATTTTGGAAAATGTCTCCTAGAGAAGATAGCAGATAGAATCATCACTGGTTGAGAATCCATGCCCTAGAGATAGTACTCCTTTGTGTTATTTTCATAATACATAGAAGTATCTGTGGAGCGGCAGAGGGTCTAACAAATCAAACTATAAATAGAGGTTGCTCTAGGAAGAGAAGTCAGAGGTGGAGAGCAGAAACTATATCACATTTGGTACATGTCTTGTTCAAAATTGTTTCCACTGAAAATTGGCTTTCCACATGACAAAAACTAAAACTAGACCAATGTCTATCACCATGCACTAAAGTAAAAATGGATTGAATATATAAATATTAAAACAGAAACATGAAATATACTGGAAGAGAAAGAAGATAGAAATCTTAAAGGCATAGGGTAGGTAGAGAATTGATGAACAAAAACCAAACTGCACAGGAAATACTTCAAAAAATCAACAACTGGGATCTCATCTTATTAAAAAGTTTTTGCACATCAAAAGAAATCATCAACAGAGTAAAAAGAAAACCCACGAATAGAGAAAAAATTTTAGCCAACCATCACTTAGACAAAGAACTTCTATCTAGAACATATAAAGAATTTTTAAAAAATCAGGCCCCCAAAAGTCAAAGACCCAATCCCAAAATGGGCATCTGAGATGAATACACACTTCTCAGATGAAGAAATACAAATGGCAAATAAATATATGAAAAAACGTTCAACATCATTGGTCATCCAAGAACTGCAAATTAAAACAACATTGAGATTCTCACCCAGAAAGAATGGCTATCATCAAGAAATCAACTAATAAGAAATGCTGGCGGGGCTGGGGATTTAGCTCAGCGGCAAAGCGCCTGCCTGGCAAGCGCAAGGTCGTGAGTTTGGTTCCTGGTACCGGAGGAAAAAAAAAAAAAAAAAAAAAAAGAAATGCTGGCAGGGCTGTGGGGAAAAAGGAACCCTTCTCCACTGCTGGTGTGAGTGTAGACTGGTACAACCACTGTGGAAATCAGTGTGGAGATTCTTCAAAAAAACTAAGATTAGAGGTCCCATTCAACCCAGCTATTCCCCTTCTGGGCATCTTCCCAAAAGAACTGAAAACATCATACCATAGCAATACATGTGCACCCATGTTAATAGCAGCACAATTTGTAATAGCTCAATCTTGGAAACAACCCAAATGCCCATCAACTGAGGAAAGGATAAGAAAGATGAAGGATAAACTCGAGGCTTTTATAGGTTTGCATCCACTGATGCAACTAGAGACCATACTCATAAGTGAAATAAACCAGACTCTCATGTGTAAACACTGTATTGTCTCCCTACTGTAAGAAACTGAAAGAGTAAATAGGATCCAAAATGTACAATAGATATTGTGAAAGGGAGAGAAACTGCTCAAAAGGAAAGAACAACTGGAATGTGAGAAAAGAGAAAAGAAGGAAAGGGTATAAAGATACCCATATATACATAAGATAGCTAAGATAATTGTACTACTAATTTCTATTAGTTCATTGAAAGGAACAGTTAGTGCTTATACTGTTTGTTCAATTTTGCATGTCTGTATGTGGTAATCTGAGCAACTACTTTGAAGATAACAATATGCAATATAATAACCATTGTTAATTTACTATCATCATTGAAATTCTGTATCATTTTTATTTTTTCTCTCTTTAAAATAAAAAAAAAAACAGATACAAGTCATCTAACAAATAAAAATAATTTCCACTTCAAAAAAATTATTTCTTCTGGAACCAGAAGAGGCCTAGAATAGCAAAAGCAATCCTGGGCAATAAAGGAAAGGAAGGAGGCATCACAATCCCTGCCTTGAAATTATACTACAAAGCTACTGTGATAAAATCAGCATGGTACTGGCAAAAAAACAGACCTGAAGATCAATGGAATAGATTAGACACAGATGCAGACACAGTTACAAACACACTCAGCCACCATATTTTTGACAAAGGGCCCAAACATGTTCACTGGAAGAAAGGTAGCCTCTTTAACAAAGAGGTGCTGGAAAAACTGGCTTTCCACACTTCAAAGACTAAAACTAGACCCATGTCTATCACCCTGCACTAAACTCAAGTCCAAATGGAAAAGATCTAAATATCAAAACAGAAACATTAAATCTACTGGAAGAGAAAGGTAAAAATCTCAAAGACAGAGAGTTCCTGAACAAAAACCAAACTGCATGGGAAATACTTCAAAGAATTAACAACTAGGATCTCATCTTATTGAAAAGTTTCTGTACATCAAAAGAAATCACCAACAGAGTAAAAAGAAAACCCATGAATTGGGAAAAATTTTCTTCCAAATGCCCCTCAAACAAAGGATTTCTATCTAGAATACATAAAGAATTAAGAAAAAAAAAATCAGACCCCTGAAATTCAAAGACCCAATCCAAAAATGGGCATCTGAAATGAACACGCACTTCTCAGGGGAAGAAATACTAGTGGCAAATAAATATATGAAAAAATGTTCAACATCATTAGTCATTTGAGAAATGCAAATTAAAACAACACTGAAGTTTCATCTCACCCCAGAAAGTATGGCTATCATTAAGAAATCAACCAATGACAAATGCTGGAGAGGCTGTGGGGAAAAAGGAACACTTCTCCACTTGTGGTGGGAGTGTCAATTGGTGAAACCACTGTGGAAATCAGTGTGGAGATTCTTCACAAAACTAGGATTAGAAGTCCCACTTGACATAGCCATTCCCCTTCTGGGTAGTTTTCCAGAAGAATTAAAAACATCATACCACAGCAAAATATGTGCACCCATGTTTATAGCAGCGCAATTTGTAATAGCTAAATCTTGGAAACAACTCAAATGCCCATCAACTGAGGAATGGATAAAAAAGATGTGATATGGAGTATTACTCTACTATAAAAAAGACAAACTCGAGGCTTTTATAGGCAAATGGATGCAACTAGAGACCATACTCATAAGTGAAATAAATTGGACCCACATGTATAAACATCACATTGTCTCCCTGGTGTAAGAACATGAAAGAGTAAATAAAACCGAAAATGTACAATAGATAATAGGAAAGGGAAAGAAATTGCTCAAAAGAAGGAGCAACTGAGATGAGGGAAAGAAGAAAAAGAAAGGACTAAGGCATTAAATATATATATACATATAAAATATGGATGCATGTTATATGGATTATATATGGATATAACATATTATATGTAATTTTATATAATATATATTATATATCCATATACATATATGGATCAGTGGCATAACTGTACTGCTGATGTCTAATGGTTTACTGAGGGGAATGATTAATTTTTTTTTACATTTTGGCCAAATTGCATGCTTCTATCTGGTAATCTGAGCAACTTATGTGAAGACAACAATTTGCAGTATAACAACCATTGGTGAATTCCTATAATACTGTCTAGTAAAACTATGTATTGTCTCTAATGTTCTTTTAAATTATTATTTTCTTATTCCCCTTAATGATTTGATCAATCTTCTATTATTACATCTGGTAATTGGAGCAACTTTGTTGAAGATAACATTATGTAATATAACAACCACTGTTAATCCCTATCATTTGATTTGAAACCCCATATCATGTTTAATGTCCTTGCTTTGTTTTGTTTGTATTTTGCTATTGTTCTTTTTTTGTACTATTTTCTTTAAAATTAAAAAAAATATTTCCACTGAACATTTATTACTTTTGAAATTTTATAAGATCAGCAAATATGAATTTTAAACCAAATTTTTCACTAGGAATTTGCAAGTTCTAAATGATGAAGCTAGTGACATTGAAGAACTTGACATGTATTTTTCTGTTTGTACTAATAAATGGAAGATTATAGTTTATTTTTAATGTATTTTTTATTTTTGAGAGACTAGGGACCAAACCCAGATCCTAGATCATGTTAGACCAGCATTCTATCATTGAGGCATATTTCCAGCTCTAATATTTTTTAAAATTAATTTTAATTGCCAGGCATGGTGGTGCATGCTTGTAATACCAGCACTCAGGAGGCTGAGGCAAGAGGGTCACTGCCAGTGTGAGGCTAGCCTGGGCTACATAGTGAGTTCAAAGCCAGCCTGAACTACACAGCAAGACCCTGTCTCAAATAAATAAATAAATTTAATTATATTATCTTAAGTATAGAATCATATTTTGTGAAAGATATTTTACTTCTGTACTATAAAATCTTCCCTGCTACTTTTTCATTTGATACCTTAATGTATTGATTTGCAAATAAGAATACAGCAATTATTCAATTGATATAAACATTAGAAACAACAATAATTTATGCATGAAATTGACATGACATGTATTAGAATAGGTTTTTAAATTTTTTATATGCATTTAAAAGTCTGAACTACCAAAATTATTAGCAGTTACTTTAAGTTCTATAGGCAAAAAGTACTGGCAATAATGATATATGAATGGTGTATTATTCAGACTAATTTTCATGTTTGGTAAATGAATAATTTTGGTTACAGATACACTGGAATGAAAATGATGTTGACTTAATTCCAAATGGGATCTCTGTACGTGTGGACAAAGCCAACAAGTAAGTTTTAAGACCTAGAGTAATTGTTTTACATATACATAAAGTATTTCTATACCTATACGTTAAAAATATATTTTAACCCTGGAGTGGTGGCCCACACATCTAATCCCAGCACTCCAGAGGTGGGGGCAAAAGGATCAAAAGTTCCAGACCCACCTGGGCTACATAGCAAGTTCAAGGCTGGCCTGGACCACATAGTGACACCCTGACTCAGAACAACCAAATAAACAAACGTATTTTAGCTTCTCAAGTGATTGTTTTAGATCAACTTTTGGAAAGATAAAAAGGTTACAGGATAAGAGAAAGGGAGGAAGGATCTGAAATGAAGTATTTCCATCATTTAACAAATATTTTTGAGCTGAAAATAAATTTCAGTTTAGTACCTCACAATCGGAAGTAAATTCCCATGCACAAAGCCATAGGGGACACAAAAACCATATCCAAATCATTCCACTTGCCATCAAAAAATGCATCTTCTATGAGGCTGCATTCTGTAGTACAAGTCAGACCTTGCAGAAGTAATTTCAATGGAGTCACACGTACTGGGAGAAGGAGAACAGGAGGACCAACTCTGAAAGTATTATGTTCATACTAAAATTTGATGGCTGATAGGAGAGGATAGGTGAAGAGGAAACATGGCCTGCTGGAGAGGAAAGTCACATGGTAGGTTTGTCTAAAATGAGAAAGAAAGAGAAAGGCAGGGGAACTGTGGGCAGCAAAGCAAGAGAGGAAAATAAAAGGAGGAAGAGCCTGCTGAGACTGGCAGGGTCAGGTCATGGAGGTGTTTTGATCCTTGCCAGGCAGGTGAGGAATTTGCCCTAAGGGCAGTGGGAAAGGTTTTAAGCAAAAGAATGACTTAAAATAGCATGAAAGCCATATACATTCCACAGAAACTATACTCCATATTTTGAATGTTGATCTTCTTGGCCAAGGGACACAGGTGCAGTGCTATCTTGTGATGCAGGACAATAGCACTAAGTTTGCAGCTGCCTGTGAGCCACAGGGTCAGGATGGGAAATGACCAGTACTCTACAGTGAACACATGTACTAAGTAAACTTTTGCTCCATGATACTTTTAGATCATGATGGACCTACTGGGACACACCCAAAATATACATTGAGAAGCAAGTATATTCAGATTAGTGTTTATAAAATCTCCTGGTTCCAGTGAGGAAAATGAGAAAAAAAAAAAAGGGTTGATCTTTCTGCTTATGTTCTCTGTATTACCTTCTTCTAGCTCAGCAGGTTTTAATATCCCTGTACCAGTTTATCTGCTACGAAGAAATTTACTTTTCTTCCTCAGTAGAAATAGTACAAACAGTCCCAGGAGGCCTTGGTGGGGAGCCCAAGACCCTGTGCTCCACCCCCACCCCCACCATTGCAGGAAGATCCTTGGGTCACAGGAAGCCTCGGTGAGGTGTACAGGAGCCTGAGACCCCATACTCCACCACCTGCCACTATTGTGGGGATGACCCTGAGTCCTGAGAAACCTAGGGTGCCTTGGTGAGCAGCCTGGGAGGAATGATATCCCATGCTCTGCCTCCTGCCACAACTGTGGGAACAACCCTGAATCCCAGGAAACCCAGGAAGCTTTGAAAATGACAAAACAAAGGAGCAAAATGCAATCTCAGCCCTGCATCCCACTCAGAACAAGTCCAGGAAACATCAACATAGAAGAACATGGAAGTCACACACCTGAAATGATAGCAACTGAAGTAAAGAAACAACTATATCAGGTTATAGAGGAGATCAGGTCAGAAATAACTGCTCAAGTAAAAAAAGAAATGACAAATGTAATGAAGGAATTGTTCAACATATCAAAAGAAGACATAAATTAAAAAAATAGAGGAGCACAGAAAAATGATGGAAACCTTGAATGAACAGTATAGGAAAGAATTAGAATGCATGAAACAGATTCAAAGACATATTCAGGAAATTAAAAATTACATTGAAAGCTGGCAAAACCACTTGAATGAAACTGAAGATAGACTTTCACATCTCGAAGACAGCATTGCAGCTAGTGATCATGAAAGGAAAGGACTCTTAAAAATAATAAGGAACCGGGAAATAAAAATTCAACAGCTGTAAGATGAGGCAAAGAAAAACAGTATAAGACTGATATGTATTAATGAAAGAGCAGGAGGCAACATTAATGACATAAAAACATTATTTACAGAAGTAATAGCAGAAAATTTCCCAAGCATGGGAAAAGAATCTGACATACAGTAAGTGAGAAATATGGAACTCCAATTAGCCATAACCAAAATAAATCTACACCCAGACACATAATAATCAAGATCCCAGAAATTCATCAGAAGAACAGACTATTAAAAGCTGTTAGAGAAAAGAAACAGATCACCTATGAAGGAAAACCCATCAGAATCACAGCTGACTTCTCAGCACAAACCCTCAAGTCAAGAAGAAATGAAGTATTTCAAGTCCTGAAAGAAAGCAACTTCCAACCCAGATTGATATACCCTGCAAGGCTATCTTTCAAAATTGATGGAGAGATAAGATACTTCCACAACAAAGATCAACTGAAGAAATTCATGACCACCAAACCAATCCCACAAAGAGTACTGAAAGATATTTTACAAAGAGATAAAAATGACCACAATCTCAAGAACAATAGAAAAGAACCATCAAGCAAGGTAAGCAAGTAAACAGAGGGAAAAAGTACAGAACTAAAAGTGAGAAAATAACATGACAAAGTTAAGTCAATACATATCAGTAATAACCATTCATGTAAATGACCCCAATTCACCAATCAAAAGAAACAGACAGGTAGAGTGGATCAAGAAACAAAACCCAATAATATGTGGTATACAAGAAACATATTTAACTCAAAAGGAAATTCATAGACTGAAAGTCAAAGGATGGAAAAGAATACTCCATGTGACAGGAACCCAGAAAAAAGCAGAGGTAGTTATTCTGTTTGCAGACAATGTGAACTTCAAATCAATAACAATTAAAAGAGATAAAGAAGGTCACTACATTCTTCTTAGGGAAAAACTGTAAGAGGAAGAGATAATCATAAATATATATGTACCAAATGTAGGAGCACCCAACTATATAAGGCAAATTTTAACAGACATGAAAAATCAAATAAGCCATAATACAATTGTAACAGGAGATTTTAATATCCCAGTGTCACAAAAAGATAGATCAACTAGACAAAAAAAAAAAAAATCAGCAAAGAAATAACAGAAATAAACCAAATGTGTGAACAAGTAGACTTAGTAGACCTTAACACCATATTCCACCACAATATTAGAATACACATTCTTCTCAGTTGCACATGGGATGTTCTCCAAAACAGACCATATATTAGCACACAGAATATGCTTAAGTAGATGCAAAGGAATTGAAATTATCCCATGCATATTGTCTGATCATAGGGCAATGAAATAGGAAACTACTGACAAAAGAAATCACAAAAACTCCATAAACACATGGGAATTAAATGACATTCTCCTGAACAACCAATGGGTCACAGACAAAATTAAAGAAGAAATTCAGCAATATTTACTATCAAATGAAAATGCAGATACAATCTACCAGAACTTGTGGGATGCAGTGAAAGCAGTCCTTACCAGAAATTTATAGCCATGGATTCCCACATCAGGAAAACAGAAAAAACACAAGCAACCTTATGCTACACTTCAAGGTTCTACAAAAAGAAGAGCAAGTCAAGCCCAAAGCCCAAAGAAGGGAAAAAATTATAAAGATCAGAGCAAAACTAAATGAAATTGAGACTAAGATAACAATACAAAGAATTAATGAATCAAAGAGTTGGTTCTTTGAAAAAAATAAAGTTCATAAAGCCCTAGCCAACCTTACCAAAAAAAGAGAAAAAAAACCCTCAAATCCATGCAATAAGGAATGAAAGGGGTGAAATCACTACAAATCCTGTAGAAATTCAGAAGACCATCAATACTTACTTTGAAAATCTTTACTCTCATAGGATGGAACACAGAGAAGAAAGGGGCAAATTCTTAGATACATATAAATTACCAAAGCTGAATCAAGAAGATATAAAAATCCTAAATAACCCAATATCAGTCAATGAAATTGAAAATGTAATGAAAAGTTAGCAACAAAGAAAAGCCCAGGTGCTGACGGATTCAGAGCTGAATTGTACAAGAAATTTAGAGAAGATTTAATTGCAATTCTTCTCAAACTCTTTATTGAAATAGAAAGGGAAGCAATCCTCCCTAACTCATTCCTGGAGGCAAGTATTACCCTGATACCAAAACCAGAGAAAGAACCAACCAAAAAAGAGAACTATAGGCCAATCTCCCTAATGAATATAGATGCCAAAATTCTTAATAATGTACTCACTAATAGAATGCAGCAAATCATCAAGAAGATAACACACCATGACCAAGTGGGATTCACCCCAGGAATACACGAATGGTTCAATACACACAAATCAATAAATAGAATACATCATATTAACAGCCAAAGACAAGATTCACATGATCATCTCAATGATGAACAAAAGATTTTGATAAAGTCCAACACTTATTCGTGATAAAAATGCTACAGATTATTGGAATAGGTGGACTTTACCTCAATCTGGTAAAAGCCATCTATGACAAACCAACAGCCAACACATACTAAATAGAGAAAAATAAAATCAGGAATAAGACAAAGATGTCCACTGTCACTACTTCTATTCAACACAGTTTTGGAAACATTAGCCAGAGCAATTAGACAAGAGAGAGAAATAAAAGGAATGATAGGAAAGGAAAAAGGGAAATTATCATTATTTGCAGATGACATGATACTCTACATGGAAGACCCCTCCAACACTCCACCAAAAGACTCTTAGAATTAATATACAAATTCAGTACTATAGCTGGATACAAAGTCAAAACTCAAAAATCAATAGCATTTCTGTACACAAAAAAAAACACACTGAGAGAGAAACTGAGGAAGCCACACCCTTGTATCCAGAAAATTGAAATACTTAGGAATCAGTCTAACAAAAGAAGTATAAGATCTATACAGTGAAAAATCACAGTACTCTGAAAAAAGAGATCAAAGAAGATTTCAGAAATTGGAAAGATATTCTTTGCTCCTGGATAGGAAGAATCAATATTGTGAAAATGGTCGTCCTCCCAAAATTGGTTTATTTTAAAATTTTTTATTTTAAAACTAAAAGGAGGAAAACATTAACAGACAGACAACATTTTACAAAATAGCAAAAGAACAGTACAGACAATACAGAGTTACAAACAAAGTGATAGGAAATTAACAATGCTTGTTGTATTACATATTGATATCGTCAAAGTGGTTTCTCATGAAAACAGATACAGACATGCAATATTGATCAACCAAAGACCTGATCAAAATACCATTAATATACCTCACAGATCTAGAGAAAATGCTAAAATTCATCTGGAAGCAGAAGAGATCCAGAACAGCAAAAGCAATTTTGGGCAACAAAGGCAAGACAGGAGGCATCACAATTCTTGACTTGAAATTATACTACAAAGCTACAATGATAAAATCAGCATGGTATTGGCAAAAAGACAGACTGAGGATCAACAGAATAGACTAGAAGTTGCAGCCACAATCAGAAACACACTCAGCCATCTTATCTTTGACAAAAAGGCCAAACATGTTCACTGGAAGAAAGATAGCTTCTTTAATAAACAGTGCTGGAAAAACTGACTCTCCACATGCTGAAGACTAAAAAACTAGACCTGTATCTATCATCATGCACCCAACTAAAGTAAAAATGGATTAAAGATATAAATATTAAAACAGAAACACTAAATCTATTATAAGAGAAAGTAGGTAGAAATCTTAAAGACATAAAGGTAATGAGAGAGTTAATGAACAAAAACCAAACTGCACGGGAATTACTTCAAAGAATCAACAACTGAGATCTCATCTTATTGAAACATTTTTGCACATCAAAAGAAATCACCTACAGAGTAAAAAGAAAACCAATGAATTGGAAAAAAATTTTAGCCAACTGTCCTCAGAGAAAGGACTTCCACCTAGAACATGTAAAGAATTTAAAAAAAAATTAGGCCCCCCAAATTCAAAGAACCAATCAAAAAATGGGCATCTGAGCTGAATATACACTTCTCAGATAAAGGAATACAAATGGCAAATAAATACACAAAAAAAAGATCAACATCATTAGTCATTTGAGAAATGTAAATTAAATTCCATCTCACCCCAGAAAGAATGACTATCATCAAGAAATCAACTAATAAGAAATGCTGGCAGGGCTGTGGGGAAAAAGGAACCCTTCTCCACTGCTGGTAGGATCGTAGACTAGTGCAACCACTGTGGAAATCAGTCTGGAGATTCCTCAGTACACTAGGATTAGAGGTGCCATTTAACCCCGCTATTCCCCTCCTGGGTATTTTTCTAGAAGAACTGAAAACATGTCATACCACAGTGATATATGTGCACCTATGTTTATGGCAGCACAATTTGTAATAGCTAAATCTTGGAAACCCAAATGCCCATTAAATGTGGAATGAATAAAAAAGATGAAAGATAAACTAGAAGCTTTTATAGGTAAATGGATGCAACTAGAGACCATACTTATAAGTGAAATAAATCAGATTCATGTGTATAAGCATCATATTGCCTCCCTAGTGTAAGAACCTGAAAGAGTAAATAAAATCTGAAAGGTACAATAGATATTGTGAAAGAGAAAGAAACCTCTCAAAAGGAAAGAACTGGGATGAGGGAAAAGAGAAAAGAAAGAAGGGAAAAATATATGTATATAGACACAAGATAGCTAAGGTAATTATACTTCTAAGTTCTAATGGTTTATTGAAAGGAACAGTTAATGTTTAATTGTTTGATCAGTCTTACATGCCTACATCTGGTTATTTGAGTAAGCACTTTGAAGATAATATGTAATACAACAACCATTGTTAATTTCCTATCACCTTGTTTTGAAATTCTTTATCATTTTTATTGTCTTTATGTTGCTTTGTTTATGTCTTTGTTTTCATTTTGTTTTTATACTTTTCTCTTTAAAATAAAAAATTGGGAAAAAAAAAAGTAAAACAGCAAAGTGGGAATTATTTAATCATTGGTAAAGTATATCACTGGCTATTTTTTTTTTTTCACTTTCTCAAGGAATGACTTTGTTTCTAAGTGTGTTGACTACATTTTCAACATCTCCATAAAGGCAATTTATGAGGAATTTTCTAGAGGATTTTACAGAGTATGTGACCTGGATGCCATCAGACATTTCCAGCCCGCAGAACCAATGACAGCAGTAATTGGAAGTACTAATTATGACTGGGAAGGCTTTGAAAAGGTAGGTGGTTCCTAAATTGCTTCCAGTTCTTCCCAAAGACTCTCATATATCCCCTCCCCCCAAAAAAATCATTTTTTCCTTCTTTTTCTCAAGAATTCACAGTATAAGCAAGGATACCACATATCACATCCTACTATAGTGATGTTTTAGAAGGCTTTCCACAAGTTAACTTTGGATGAAAAGAAAAAATTCCTCCATAAGTATGGCAGTGCTGCATGGCTTCACAATTATCTATCTCATACAAGGGTACATAGCGGTGAGTGATATTCATTCTCAATAGTAGGTCACATGTCTTTTTTTTTTTAGCGGGGTGGGGGGGTGTTTCTCCGGTACCAGGAACCGAACTCACGACCTTGCGCTTGCCAGGCAGGCGCTTTTGCCGCTGAGCTAAATCCCCAGCCCCAGGTCACATGTCTTAATGGCAGAGCAAGGAGAACCCAGCTTCCTTGCCTTCTAGACCACCATTCTTTCTTGTAAATAATCTCAATTCCCATTTTCATAAAGTAATAATAGACATAATGCTGTTTCACCTCCTTTTCTACACTGACTAATCCCACATTCAGTTTTTAGATTCTGTCTTCTTCCCATATTCCACTTGGTTCCAAATTAAATGTTTTCTGTTATGCTCTTATCTTCATTTATGTGAGTCTTTAATTTATACTATTCACTAGCTTATATAAAATAATACCAATGATACATGATGAGGATACAAGCAGCAGCATTTATTGTGCCTTCACTCTGTGGCCAGTGCTCTACTGACCACTCTGTGTCTATCACTTCCTGTTACCCTCTGTAGCAATTCTGAGGGGTAGGTGCTATTACTTCTTCCCATTTCAAGTATCAGGAAACACAAGTCTGGAGCATTTAGTACTCTGCCCATGCTCAGACAACTTGTAAGTGTGAGATCCAGAATTTGAACACAACAGACTGAGTTCAAGCTTGGCTCTTCAGCACTAAGCTGTCTGGCCTCTTGGTTTCTCTGGGACGGACTTATTTACCAATTCTACCACCTTCAAATTCTGTTTTCAGGTTTTTGGTGAGAGTGGGGACCAGAGGTTGCAGCCAGAATATACCTATCACTGAGCCACATTCCCAACCCTCTTTATTTTTGAGACAGTGTTTTGCTAAATTGGCCAAGCTGACTTTGAATTTGTAATTTTCCGGCCTCAGCCTCCTGAGAGCGTTCATTGTATTTTTTGCTTTGGTTTTTTGGAGACAGGGTCTGTCCAGGTAATCCAAGCTTGTCTCCTAGGATTAAAACCCTGAACCACCATGCTAGCCTCAGATCTTCTTAATATACACATCTTTCTGCTTGGTATTTTCATTGTTACTGAGTATATTTATGGACAATTTCAATTGCCCCCCAATCTATGTTTGTAACAAGGTGAAACTGCTTCTCAATCTTCTCTTGTAAAAAGAGAAACTTTTGCTTCAGCCCATTGCTTTAACTGTCTGTGTTCACCCCTGGTTTCTCCCCCTGCCTTGTGCCAACCTACAATAAAACCAGCCTTGGCAAGAACAAATAAGGTCAAGTTTAGCTGGGATTAATTCAGATGACAATGTGGGAAAACACAAGATTCAAGCAATCTGGAAAATGTGCTCAAGTGTTTTACAAAATGATGGCTGTACCTATAGCTTTAAAGTGTGAGTGGGTTGGAAACTGTGTCACTTGTTAGGAGTTAAGGTTGGTGCTGGCAAAAGTGAAGCAGTTTTGTAAGGAAGTGAGTAGGGCCAGCCCCAGTCTCCGGGTAGTTTGGTGGTAGGGGCCACTGTAGAGGTCAGTAGAGGTAACAGTGTTTCAAAGGTCCCTCCAGGGCTGGGCGTGTCTACAGCCCAGCTCAAAGGGTCTGCTGTGGACTGTCACGGACCTGAGTAACAGTGGCCTCTGGACTCCAGTATAAGTGGCCTGAACCAGCCCTGCTCTGTTTGGGTTTTTCCTTCTCCCTTGGAAGCTGGCCCAACTCCTTTTCTAAAGAACAAGCCAGTGGGGCCTCTAAGTCTCCCTGACCACCCCGACCTGCCCTCTTACTTCCTGCCCCAAGTCCCGGTGCTCAAGGAAGCTCTCAACCTCCAATCTCCTGGTTGAGCTAATTTAAATTTATGTTTTCATGGATGTGATTTACCTCAAATGGACCTCAAATTCATGGAGGACAACAACTACATGTTGTGATGTTTCTAGGCACTGTGTCCCTGCATAGTTCACTCTACACAAGGGTGCTTACCAGTCATTTATTAAATGAATGGTATCATTAATTTCTTTTTCTCTTTCTCTGATACATGTTAACTACATTTTATTCTTTTCCAGTATTTCTTACAGGGCGTGATAGATTGCATGTAGGAGGCATCCAGAATAGAGGAATAGTGTTCCGCTGTCCTGCAACTTTCAGTGAAAGAGATTACCCAAGGTCACTGACGTGTCACAGTGTTCTGTATCTGCCCCAGTATTCCACAATGGAAAGAATGGAGGAAGCCCTTCACGTGGCTATCAACAACCACAGGGGCTTTGCGCCCCCCGGGACCCTGCTGTATACATATTACATCTTGGATATTTTTACCTCCCTTTCTTCCACTCTCCCTTTATTTCCTTCCCCAGAGACAATCTTAATAGTCCTATCCCAGCCCTTGTCAACCAAGAACATCTTGTTAAACCATACTTACTCCTCTCTTACGATACTATTACTCATTCCACCTAACATAATACAACTATTCTAGTTACAACCAAAAATGCAATAATCACTTCCCCAACGTCTCTACAATTTGAGCATTTTTGAAAAGTCTAAGCCCAGGTCTCTCCTGGGACTCAAGGCAAACACTTAACTATGAACCTCTGTAAAAAATAAAAAATTAGTTACAATGATACAATGGCACAGAGTAAAAATTCTCATTCCAAAAGGGAGACATAAGGGAATAATAAAAAAGAATTAGACCAAAGCAAGACCAAAACCTACCACAGCAAACCCTGATACATTCACAACAGGGCCATAATTCATATGTCTCATTGCCAGGTGGCTCTGATTTAAATTTGATTGTACTCACTGTTGAACCACTGGTGGTATATGCATGACTGTCCCATAAAGCAGCTTGCACCACTTTTCAAGAGGTCTTTGATTATAATAATGAAAAAAAAAAGCATTGATTGAGCAGATGTCATCATATTATAGTTCCTTAAGAAAAACATTAAATGGTGTATTATATTTGAGTTATATTTTACTTTCTCATGGTACTGGAGATCAAGCCCAGAGCCTCAAGCATCCTAGGCAAAGGTTCTTCCAAAGAGCTACATTCCCAGTCCTTTTCCTGAATTTCAAAGGGAAAGGCAATCTCTAAATTTTAGGGCTCCCCTAGCACCCAATTTTTGGTTACCTTTTAGCACCAACATTCCTTTTTCTAATGTAAATGGCTGAATTGTACTAAATGGTTGTGGAAGAGATAAGACCAATTCTTTACACATTTGTTCAAAAAGTACTAGAAGAAAGAAAACTTACCAATTAGTTTTCAAACCCCAGCATTACCCCAACACAAAAACAGACAGTACAGGAAAAGAGAACATGTATGTTTTTATGAAAAGAGATACATAAATCCTTTACCAATTTTTAACATAATAAGCACCTCCAACAAAATGTAGAAGGAAAAATGCCTCACGGTCATGTGGGATTTATCCAGAAATGCAGAAAAGACATTTAAGAAAATTCAGTACCCATTCATGCATGATAAATATTCTGAGGAAACAAGGACTAAAACAGAACTTCACCAAACCTGATGAATCTACATTCACCTAGGCCCATTCTTAATGGAGAAAGACTCAATGCTTTCCTTCTATATTAGGTACTTTTCTTGTTGCTAAGACAAGCTACTCAAAACACAACAGGAAAGGTTTATTTTAGCTAAAAGTGATATAGGGAAATAAAAACTCCCAACCTGAACGATATCTGCAACAAGTTTGTGTTCTCTAAAATTGAACAATGAATTTTAGGAACAATGGAGGTTAAGAGCAGAATATTTTTTGTAATTGGTTACCCTGATGAAGAACCGAGACCAGAATCCAAACTGGAATTTTAAGAGCCTTTATTAGCCAGGCCAGCTGCTGTCAGTCTGTTCTCCATGCAGGTAGATGCTGAGCAGCCCCAAGCCGAAGAAAGTTTGAGCTTTTAAGCTTGAAAACCATATCCTGGTTGGTGCAGGTGAAAAGATTTTTTGCAAGGGCAAAAAACTGGAACGTATCAGTTCCAGCAAGCAGGTGTTGCAAAGTTCAGAACGTTCTTAGAAGCATACATTGTTTTCAAACTGAACTAACAATCAAGCACAGTTTCTCTGTCTTGGGTCAAACTGACATTTTCCCCTCCACCCAACAGCCCAGCAATTTTTCATCTGTTTTATGTGTTCACCAATTATGTGTTCATCACATTTTTATTGAGGGCAAGAAAGCTTCTGTCCAAGAGAGACAGAAGGGGGCCCGAGTGGGTTGCCAAGGACCTTGCCCTTCCCAGGGACTTTATAAAGCAAAACCCTGAGGTAAGGCGTGGAAAATGGGAAATTACAAGGTGGGCATGAGGTGGGACAAAACAATGGTCAGCCAATAAGATTACATGTATAATTGTTCAGGTAAAATTGAGTGAACTGGGATCAAATGGGGAAACAAGTCACATACCAAATGGGCATGAATATAGAATAGGGGCTTTTCCTGTAGGGGGCGGGGCTAGTGACTCTTTCTGGCTTTTTGAAGGTGGTTGTTACTTATTTAGAATACCAATCCCTTACGTTCACACCTTAGGGAGGTATGTGGGTGCATTTGTTTAGTCCTTTTGTCTTGAGGTCTGGCCCACAGGTATCTTACCTTGTCTTTTACGTTGGCTCCTTCAAGGGCCTGGCCCTGTCTGACTGCCTATAATATTTCTATCTAACTCAGCTGCCTATAACAAAAGTTTGTAGAGCTTTCAGTTGGAAGGCACCAAGCCAGGACAGCATGGCAGAAGGGCATGGCAAAGGAGTCCATGGCAGGGCAAGCATTAGGCAGCAAGCCACAGCAGGAAGCCTGCCTTTCCCTTTTATCCCACCCAGGCTACAAGCCTTTTGGGTGGTGTCACCCACACCCAAGGTGGGGCTTCTGTCTTCAGTAAATCCATTCAGCCACACCCAGAACTATGCTAATACCAATCAGTGGACTAATTTAGTACAGCATACCCCTAATCCCAGTATCACACACCCTAGATCCAGCCAGCTCAAAAAAGCCCCACTTATGAGTGTATGAGGCTTCTGGGGACATCTAGATATGATCCATAATACCTGCTAATGCTGCCAAAGAGCAAAAAGGGTCTCTCATCTCTTCTATGCAACCTGGTAGTACAAATAGGAATACATATAAAAGAGCAAAGAAAAGACACATAGATTAGAAAAGAAGTAAAACTCTTATTTGTATACTATGCTACCATCTATGTAGAAGATTCTAAAGGATCTACAAAAACCCAGAACTATTAAATAAATACAGAAAAGTCTCAGGATTTAAGATTAATATATAAAAATTAATTTTATGTCTATATACTCACCAAAATCATGAACTGAAATTGAAAAGAGTACCATTTACCAACAGAAAAGCAGAAATAGGTCTGGACTGGGAATATTGCTCAGTGGTAGAACACCTGCCTAGCATGCACAAAGTTCTGCGTTCAAGGCCAAGTAAATTTTAAAAAGGGTCTTAGACCTATAGAAATTAATTGTATTTCTATACACTGATCACAATCATAAATTGATACCTGAAAAATATCACTTGCAATATTAAGAACATAAAGATATTTTATGTTCACATACTAAAGTAGCATGTCAATTTTCCCTTGAACCTGCTAGAATATGAAGTTCCCTTCTGTTACTTCTTTCCTAAGAGTACAGTAATCTCAATCAAAATTCTAGCAGACCATTTTGTAGACACCAGTGAACTCCTTCTACACTATAGATGGGAATACAAAGGGGCTAGAACAGCCAAAACAACTTGGAAAAAGGACAATGTTGGAACACCTACATGAACTAACTTTTGAGAGTTATTTTCAATGCACTGTAAACAAAACAATGAGGTAATAGAATAAAGATAGAAATAGAGTTAAGTAAATCATATAGAAAAGAAACATCTGCTGAGTCTCTGCCCTCCACACACCCAGTGCAGACAGGATATCCTCACTCAGAAAGCCTGCGAACTGCTATCACCGGGGTTCACTTGTGGGCCCTCCCTGTACATGTCCAGCACCGAGTGACTTACTGGAGCAGGTGCTCCATGAGCTGCTGGCACTGCAGTTTGGGACTGGCTTTACTTGCACCCTGACCTCCTGGTGGTCACAGACACAGGCAGTCTGTGATCCCTGTCAGTGCGGCCCGCCTCTTCCTCTTGTGCACATCCTAAACTGACATGATGCAGAATCAGGCAGGACACGACCTGCTGACATCATGGTTCGCAGCTGAAGGCCTCTGAGAGAACCAGCTATTTTCCATCTACTTCCTGGGGGCAGCCCAGTAACCCATGACCCCACCACCATTACAGTCTGAGTCTCCGCCCTCTGTGCCCCTGGTGCAGACAGGAGAGCCTCACTCAGAAGGCCTGTGAACTGCTATTACCGGGGTTCAAGTGTGGGCCCTCTCTGTGCATGCCCAGTGCTGAGTGAGGTACTGGAGCAGGCACTCCATGAGCTGCTAGCACTGCGGTTCAGGTCTGGGCTTTACTTGCGCCCTGACCTGGAGGTCACAGACACAGGTAGTCTGTGATCACCGCCACTGCAGCCCGCATCTAGCTCCTGTGCGTGTCCTGAGCTGCCTGGAGACACAGAATCAGGTGGTCCACAAACTGTTGACCCTGCAGTTCATGTCTGGGTTTTGCCTGTACCCTGAACTGCCTGGGGACAAGGGACCAGTGGTCCAGGATTGTGCCACTAGTGCAATCCAATTCTGGATCATACACGTGCCCTGAACTGCAACGGGACACTGGTTCAGACGGTCTGCCATCAGCTGACATCATGGTCCACATCTGAGACCAGGGAAACTAAATACACTTCACCACCTGCTGGAAAACCCCAGACTAAGCAGTGAATCTCAGCGGACACTAAGGGGCAAGCCTGACCACCAGGAAAACTAGGGACACTAATAGCCTTTGTTGAGCTGCCAGGGAATAGGGAGACTGAGCTTTCTGTATCCAGTATCAAACATAACAAGATGAAGGACTATACCACAATCTCAGAACTCCACCACACTCAGAACAAGTCCAGGACACATTGACATAGGAGAACTTGGTAAACACACATCTGAAATTGCTGAAATGATTGCAATGGAAGTAAAGAAACAACTGCATCAGGCCACAGAAGGGATCAGATCAGAAAGAACCTCTCAGGCAACAAATGAAGTGACAATAACAATGAAAGAACCGTTCAGCACATCAAAGGAAGAAACATATTAAGAAATAGATGAACAGAGACAACAGATGGAAGCGTTAAATGAAAAATATAAGAATGAATTAGAACACATGAACCAGGCTGAAAGAGACATCCAGGAAATCAAAGCTTCCATTGAAAGCTGCCAAAATCACCTGAATGAAATGAAGATAGAATTTCAGATTTTGAAGACAGCATGACAGCTAGCAATCCTGAAAGAAAGGATCTCTTAAAATCAACAAGGAACCAAGAAAAATCAATTCAACAGCTGCAAGACAAGCCAAAGAGGAATAATGTATAACGAATAGGAGTCAATGAAACAGCAGGAGTCAACACAAATGACATAAAAAGAATATTTGCTGAAATAATAGCAGAAAATTTCCCAAGCATGGAACATGATATACAGGTAAGAACCTGTATATACAGGTAAATGAGGCATATAGAAGTCCAATTACCAATAACCAAAATAAAACTACTCCCAGATATATAATAGTCAAGATCCCAGATCTTCAGCAAAAGAACAGAATATTAAAAGCTGCTAGAGAAAAGAAACAGATTACCTATAAAGAAAAGCCCATCAGAATCACGGCACACTTCTCAACACAAACCATCCAATCACAAAGAGCTTGGAGTAAAGTATTACAGGTCCTGAAACAAAACAACTTCCAACCAAGACTAATGTACCCTGCCAAATTATCCTTTAAATTCAATGGAGAAATAAAATATTTCCACTATGAAGAACTTCATGAGTGCCAAACCATCATTGCAAAGAGAACTAAAAGATATTCTAGACCAAGAAAAAAATGACCACAACTTCAAGAACAATAATAGAAAGGAGCCCTCAAGCAGAGCAAGCAGTTAAACAGGTAGAAAAAGTAGGAAACCAACAGCAAGTAAATAACATGACAATGATAAGTCAACACATGTTTGTTATAACCATAAATGTAAATGGCCTCAATTCACCAGTCAAAAGAAACAGACTGGCAGAGTGGATTAAAAACAAAATCCAACGATATGCTGTATACAGGAAACACATTTTGCTCAAAAGCAAATCCACAGACTGAAAGTAAAAGAATGGAAAACAATTCTCCATGCAACAGGAACCCAGAAAAAAGCAGGTGTAGCTATTATGTTTGAAGACAATGTAAACTTCAAACCAACAACAATCAAAAGATATAAAGAAGTTCACTACATACTTGTTAGGGGGAAACTGCAAGAGGATGAGATAACAATCATAAACATGTGTGCACCAAATATCAGAGCACTAGACTATATAACACAAATCTTCACAGACATGAAAACCCATATAATTAATAACACTATTGTAATAGGGGACCTCAACACCCCTTTGAAACAAAGAGATAGGTCAAAAGGACAAAAAATCAGTAAAGAAATAATAGATCTGAACCAAATCTGTGAAAAAATGGACTTAGCAGATGTATACA